GCAAGACTTCCTTCTTTTTATAGCTGAATATTCCATTGTGTATATGTAAATGCATACATTATGTGTGTGTATATATACAATTTATCAATTCACCCATTGATAGACACTTATATGTGTTTCTGCATGCTATTTTGTCCCATTGGTTCGTATCCCTCTGCCAACAGAATATTGTCTTAATAAGTTTATAAAAATGTTTGGAATTGGATAGGGGCCAAGTCAAGTCAAGACAGTGAGCTCTTTCAAGACCAAGGCAGTTTCTCACTTCTTATCCTTGGGCTTAGTAGACAGGTGCTCAACAATCATTTTCTAAGTAAATAAATGAAGCCAAAAGAGGAAGTTAGAAAGACCAAAGGAAAAAGCAGACAAGGGACATGCCCCTCCCCTCTCCAAAGAGAGGTACCAGAAATGTTAAGGCTGATCTGGTAGGAGTGTAAGCCAGAATGCTCGAATCAGAGTGGGAGGAGGTGGAGAGAGTTTCAAGCTAGACCCCTCTTCTAAACCTCCCAAAAAATAGAAAATGACAGAAGGCTTTTGGAACCAAGAGCTAGAGGAGCCTGGAAGCAAAAGCTAAAGCTGTCAGCTTCCCAGCAGTTCACACCCTGAGACAATCCTCCCACCTCCAACCCCCGAAGCTGCCAAAAGCCCCAGGCAAAGAAACAGACGTCCCAAGATGGCCCCAGCCTCAGCAGCACCATGCAGCACTGGGGAAGTGACAGTGACTGGGGGGAAAAAACACTATTATAGCTGAGATATTTTAAAATTCCACCCTCGAGGGAGCATCCGGTTGCTATGGCAACCGTAGCTCTGCTGGGAGTCCTGATTACCAACTTGCTAGATGCACCTGCCTCTGGCAGCCTAGAGGTGTCTGTCCTGAAGAGGCCGGGAGCTGCTGCCACCAAGGGGAACGCCAAGGAAGTGCCCCTAAGTTCTGGCTCCAGGGTAATGGCTGAAGAGACCCAAGATTCAATGTGAACACTCCATGGTATAATTTTGTTCCATGTAATTCAGATTGAATTACAAAGTCTTTTTTGTGTTCACTTGGCTCCATCAAAACACAAAAAGGTAACATTTTCATTTAGCTTGGGACTGAGCAAATGAAGCAGTTGGTCGTGAGTTCTGGTTCCATAGTTTAGACCAAGACCCTAAGGGACAAGATTGGCCCTGGAGCTGAGCGGCTGGCCCTGCCCTCCAATACAGATTTGCATAAGTACCACTGCAGACACTTGCTCTTCGGCACCCAGTCTGGAATGGCTTTTGGTATCTTTAGGAAACCCAAACAAGAGGCCACAGAGCCAGAATGACAGGCAGCCAATGGGAAGAGCAAGAGGCAGATAGAGAGATGCTGTCATTCTGTCATTTCAATGTGGAGCGAAGGAATCTTGACTCTGGCAAGATTCCTCTCCACATAGTCATACTTGGCTTTATTTTCCAAATCGTTTCTGCACTCACCTGTCATTCCATTTGGTAAGCTTGACCTATTTGGCCCAAGGAGAGCTCACATGGGCTGTACACACAACAGCAGCTGCTCCGGGATATAAAGCAATGCTTGGAGGAGAAGGGCAGTGGGCTAAGGGTGGGGAGAGTCTAGTGCATGTCTCAGGGAAAACACTGGGCTCTGTCAGGAGACTGAACTGCAAACCCAGCCCCTCCATTTGCTAACTGACTTTGGACACATCATTAGTGAAAGGTGAACTTCTTGAGGGCAGGTATTGTTGCCAACGACTGGTCATTGCTATGGCACCTAGAATGGTATCTGGCACCAAGCAGATCTTCAACAGATGTTTCAGAAATGAAAGAATGAATAGTCTCTGCCGTAGTGCCTTCATTTATAAAACTGGGATAAGAATTCTCTCCCCATTAGGGCCTTTGGGAAGCTCTAACAAAACAGGATGAATGACGTCTAACTTAGAATGCTTCGGAAAAGGTTAAGTGATGCACAAATGTAAGCTAGCAAGACTGTTACTCAATGCAACAGCTCAGATGACTATTAGACAAGATGCTTCGGAGGCCAGGGCTTACCCATTTCCTCAGAGCACTTGGAAGAAATACTTAGAGTTAAATGCCTTCTGGGTCCCAGGCGCTGGTATTGTACTACTTACTTGCCTACCCACCATCCATTCTACTCGTCTTCCTTACAAACAGACCCTGATTCTCTGAGCAAGAGTGCACCCTGTCCCTGCCTCCTTGTAGCTACCAGTGTTGACTACCACCTGTAGTCAACCAGACAGAACCAAAGTCTGGAAAAGTTCTTTTAAAGGAATCCAGCTCAGGGAGCCTGGGTGGCTCTGTCAGTTAAACGCCTGCCTTTGGCTCAGGTCATGGTCTCAGGATCCTGGGATCAAGCCCGGCGTCAGGCTTTCTGCTCAGCAGGGAGTCTGCTTCTCCCTCTCCCCTGCACCCCTAAAAGTCTCAGGGCACCCTGCTCATGCTCTTTTTGTCTCTCAAATAAATAAGTCTTTTTTAAAAAATAAATAAAAGTAGGGCACCTGAGTGGCTCAGCCGTTAAGCGTCTGCCTTCGGCTCAGGTCATGATCCCAGGGTCCTGGGATCGAGCCCCGCATTGGGCTCCCTGCTCTGCAGGAAGCCTGCTTCTCCCTCTCCTACTCCCACTGCTTGTGTTCCTGCTCTCCCTGTGTCTCTCTCTGTCAAATAAATAAAATCTTAAATAAATAAATAAATAAATAAATGTAAATAAATAAGTACATAAAGGAATCCAGTTCCACTTGCTTTGTCTTCACCTTTTCCTCCTTCCTCCTTGGAATGTGGATGAGAGGCCAAAGGGGAGAATGGTGCCATCTTGCAAGAGGCCAAAGGGTAGAATGGTGCCATCTTGCATGCTGAGGATGGTAGGCCAAGCACCTGAGTCCTTGATGACACACCCTTGGGCTGCCTCCCCAGCCTGAAATGCCTACTCTGAATTTCCTATTGCTTAGAAAAATAACCACCTATTTGTTCAAGCCACTGCAGTCAGATTTCTGTAACAAGCAGCTGAACAAAATCCCAAATTATACAGTACTGTACTTAAAATAGTTCATTTATGAAATACGCATTGCCAATGCCAATTTTACAGATGAGAAAATGGAAGCCTGGCAAAGTGAAGGAAATTGCCCAAGGCCATATAGCTAGTGAGTGACAGCTAGGATTTGATTCCAGGTCTGCCTGACTCCAAGACCCTCAGTCTTTTCACTTTTGCCATGATGCCCAAGGGAGAAGAAAGGAAAATCATGTTTGTCTCAAAGACACTATAGGAGGACTTCACAGGGTCTGCAAACTTACCAAGTGCCAGGCATATGGGTGTGGGGACACAAGAGTGAATCAATAAGGACAAAGTCCACAGAGCTTGTATTTTAGTAGAAGACACAGAATAAAGATGTAAATATAGACCATGGGGTGATAAGGACTATGGAAAAAATTAAGCAGTAAGAGGGATGGAGTACTACTTGTTATAAGAAGTTGAGGGAGTCTCTTTGAGATGACATATCCACCAGCTATTTAAGAAGTGATAAGGGAAAAAAAAGGGAAGGAGTGAGCCACATGGATAGTGGAGGTAGGATAGAGGGACCTGCAAGTGCAGAGGTCCTGGGACAGGAATGGGTACGGTGGACTGGCAAGGGAGCCAGTGGGGCTGGGATGACATGAAGGGGAAAGTGGGAGAACAGGATGGAAAGGCATCTGTGCTGCAGTAAGGAATGTGGGCTCTTCTTCTGGGTAAGACCAGAAGTCACGGGAGGGTTTTGATCAGGTCAAACTTAGGATGTGGCTTCTGGGGCGCTGAGGGGAGAGCCGCAGAGAGGGAGGAGGAGATGAGACAGGGAGGTTAGACTGGAGGCTGCCACAACAATGCAGGCAGAGAAGCCAGCAGCCTGGAGCGGGGCAGCATTAAAGGCTGGAAAGTGCTCACACTTGGTACATTCTGAAGGCAAAGCTGCAGGATATGCAGATGGACTGGCTGTAGGAGATTAAAGAGAAGACAAGGATGAGTGCAGTGTCTTCAGTGCTACTGTCTACGGTGGCGGGGGGGTGGTGTGCAGCAGCAGGACCCAAGCTGGGTCCTGCTGCTAGCAGTAGGGTTGGGCTACGTTTGGCTTTGGACACAGCTGAGCTCTGATACTTATAGAGTGAGCACAGCTCATCACCCCCTCCTTTGTGAAACATGTTCACTCAGCTTACCAGACACCCACCCACTCATGATTCCCCGCCTATTTCAGTGGCCACTCCTTCCCAATCTCCTATGTTCCCTCCCCTCTGAATGACTACCAGGCATGCATCCAAACAAAGGGGTCAAGAAGTCCGTGAGACAGAGCCAAGTAAAGAGTGTTTTGAGGGCGCCTGGGCGGCTCAGTTGGTTAAGCAACTGCCTTCGGCTCAGGTCATGATCCCGGAGTCCTGGGATCGAGTCCCACATCAGGCTCCTGGCTCAGCGGGGAGCCTGCTTCTCCCTCTGACCCTCTCCCCTCTCATGCTGTTTCTCTCTCTCGCTCTCAAATAAATAAATAAAATCTTTAAAAAAAAAAAAAAGAGTGTTTTGAGAAGAGGGGAGGGAGTCACCAGCTTGTGTCACATGCAAATGACTGCTAGAGTAACAAGAGGGCAAGGACCAGGGGATTTGGCAAACACGGGGTCGTGGACAGCACAGACCATGGAAAAGTGGAAATGGGTCGCTCCGAGAGGGAGGAACATAAGAAACACATACTTTCCAGGATCACTATAGGAAAAGCGCCTTCCTTCAGAAGAAACCATAAACACGATCCTTTCTTTTCCACATCAGAGGAGTTGTCAAGTACATGCCAAATCCTGGGCATAACTAATTCCCAGACAGACTCGGGCTTTGCAGGCCAGAAGTAGATTGGTGGTGGGAAGGAGAAAAAGGTAGGAAAGGAGACATCAACATGTTATGGGAGAAAATGGCACCGATCTCTTCGCTTCAGGGTCACCCACGTTGCTCACCCACTATCCTTCCCCCACAGGACTTTTTAGTACATTCCAGAAGCGCTTCACAATTGACAGCATAATGAATATTTATTATGATTATTTTAATTTAAAAAAATAAGCCTAAAAGTCTCTGGGCAATAAGCTAAAATACAATAAAAAGCAGTATCATAGTGTTAGTGACGCACCTTGCTGGCATGCAGTGGTGCCCTCAGTGCAGGCAAGGCTCTGCATTATTTTACACCACTTCCCCTTTTTTCAGAAGTCCCTACTGAAATGAGAGAAGAAACTGAGGCACAGAGGTAAAGGAACTGGCCCGAGGTCAGACTGCCAGGAGAAGCAGACAGGAACTGAGCCCAGAAAATCCTGATTGTTCTACCCCGGGTACAATTCTGTGGCTACTGCCCAGCAGGAGAAAAAGCCAGTGTCTTCTTCTAAGTGACCAGTAATATCCACCGTGGGGCCACAGAAAGTGTCACAGGAAGCGGCCCTGACTTGATGCCCAGTGATGTGGGCCAGAAGCCAGTTAACAGGACTCCCCTCTAGCTCCAGGGTCCCAACCCCCCTTGTCTCCAACGCACAGCCCTCACTACAAAAGCCAACCCTCCTTGTGGAAAACCAGCTGTACAGCCTCATTCACATCATTCACAATGTGGGACGCCTCCATGAGCCCTGGACTGAAGCTGAAGTCCCGGTGCCCATGGAATGGAGCCTCCTCTGCATCCTGGGCGGGCCTGGTGGGCTCTGGGCCCTTGGGATTGTACACACCAGTGCACACCAGGATAGAGGCACAGCTCTGGGTTGCTGAGGGCCGCCGCTTCCACAAGCCATCGGCCCCCCGCTCCTCTGCCCCATCATGCTTCGCCATCTGCAGGTACTTGTGGAACAGGTTGGCACCGTAGACATCAGACATAGGGTTATCACTGGCAGGGGCAGCCATACCAGAAAAGGAAAGAACAGAAAACCCCAGTTCAGTGTTACAAGGCAAAGAGAGCAGAGGACAATTGTGGGACTAGTGTGTATTAGATACCGGGAAACAGGTGGGTGAGTAGGTAGGGAGAAAGGGCAGGGGAAGTCCAAAAGTGATGAGGGGATGGATAGCACTTACCCGATAGCATAGAGCTTCTGGATGGGGGCCACCCAGCCCCGCCTCTCCGCCTGCTGCCGGATCAGGTCCTCTGCATACTGGTAAGTGAGGACACTGGGTTTGCCCATCAGGCCCTCATATCTCAGCTCTTTGCCTGTCACTTTCCGGTAAATGGTTTCCAGGCACAGCAAAAAGGTGCCATGGCCAAACCTGCCAGAGAAGAAAGCTCAGCAGCTCAGGCCTCCTCTCTCTGGCTCTGAGCAGGACCCTATAGACCAACCTTTCCCTCCAACACCCTGATGGTGACAGATAAAGTGAAATTACTTCTAGTAAGAATTACATCCATTACCTATCTTTATGACCTGCTGTTATCGACTAACATTTGTTGAATACTAGAGTGGCATATCACATTTAACTCTCAGAATAACCCCATGAGAGCTGTCATCATTTTCATTTACAAGTGAGGAAACTGAGGCATACAGAGATTAAGTAACTTGCCCCAGGTGGTAGAGCTAGGATTATAACCCAGGCAGTCAGACTCCACAAACCCAAGTTTAAATTTGGCTTTAAATCTGTGGCAGATGACCGGTTGCCCTTCTCCCCTTCTTTCTCAGTGCCAGTTTTCAGCTCACCATATTGCAAATGGGTGTACACAAGTATTCCCTTGCACCACCGCAGCTAGGTGTGCAGCCATGCGAGTAAGCTATTCGCATGCCCTCTGCCCTCAATGCCCTCTGCTGCTCCCCCTGCTTGTGCTCTCTCTCTGACAAATAAATAAATGAAGTCTTGAAGGAAAAAAAAAAAAAGACACTTTCATTTTGGGTTTTTATCCGTGGCTGCTAAACTAAATTTCAACTGATACTGTCCAACATATTAAGGTTGTATTTCAGTGTTGTCACTTACTTATATGACGAATTCTATTTTCAATTTTTAAATTAGTAAATGAAAATTAATCTTTTTTTTTAAAGATTTTATTTATTTATTTGAGAGAGAGAGAATGAGAGATAGAGAGCATGAGAGGGAAGAGGGTCAGAGGGAGAAGCAGACTCCCTACTGAGCAGGGAGCCCAATGTGGGACTCGATCCTGGGACTCCAGGATCATGACCTGAGCCGAAGGCAGTCGCTTAACCAACTGAGCCACCCAGGCGCCCCTGAATGAAAATTAATCTTAAATCTGATTTATAAATTGAAATTTGCACCTTGCTATACCATTCCAGCCTACATAGCCAAACTCCCCTCACCTAGTGTCGGCACACCCTTAACTGTAGGAAGAATACTTCAGAGAAAATATCTAACCTCAGGCTACAGAAATATACGTTTTAAAGTAAAAAGAGAGGGGCGCCTGGGTGGCTCAGTCGTTAAGCGTCTGCCTTTGGCTCAGGTCGTGATCCCAGGGTCCTGGGATCGAGCCTCGCATCGGGATCCCTGCTCCACAGGAAGCCTGCTTCTCCCTCTTCCACTCCCCCTGCTTGTGTTCCCTCTCTCGCTCTCTCTCTCTCTGTCAAAAAATAAATAAAATCTTTAAAATAAATAAATAAATAAAACTAAAGTAACAAGAGAACACCGTAACACCCATCTCTTTGGAGTTACTGAGTCATGTGACCTGAGGCAGCGTTGGGCCTGCTGCCCTCTGTTGACGGATCACTCACACAGCCCACTAGGAATTAGTAGCGGGGAGAGAAAACTCTGGACTTTGGCCCTGCAGATAAGAGCAGCCAAACAGTACAGTAGCCACAGCTGCCCTTCCAGGAAGGCCCTCCACGGCTAGAGCTGCCTAGACTGCGCTTAGCCTCAGACAGGACAGAGGAGGTCTACACAGCTGAGCAGAGCCTGCTCAGTACCTGTGTGCCTTTGAGAAAGTCACTTACCCACTGGGTCTCAGTTCTCTGGCCTACCTAACCATCAGAATAACTATTGCCCCCCCCCCCCCGCCCCTACATCTTAAGGGCAGGAGGAGACAAAGAGGGAGGGAACCAGTGCCACAGGGAGGAGGCAAGAAGGCGCAGCTGTACTGCTAGGCCTCCGAAGTCATCCATTGTTTGGGCTCTATACACAAAAAATAACATGTTCTGGGGGCACCCAGAGGCTGAATCGGTGGAGCACACAATGCCTGATCTCAGGGTTGTGAGTTTGAGCCCCAAGTTGGGGGTAGAGATTACTTAAAAAGAAATTTAAAATCTTAAAAAAAATAAAATAACATGTTCTGTTAAGATTCTGGAGAGCAGGGGCACCTGGGCTCAGTTGGTTGAGCATCCAACTCTTGGTTTCAGCTCAGGTCATGATCTTGGGATCATGGGAGTGAACCCCAAGTCGGGTCAGTGCGGAGTCTGCTTGAGATTCTCTCCCACTCCTTCTGCCTCTGCCCCTCCCACTCATGCTCTCTCTTTCTCTCTAAATAAATAAATAAAATCTTAAAAGGAGGGCAAAGGACCTATGTTAAAGATCATCTCAACATATCTTCAGTGATCAGTCAGCTATACTTTTCATTTACTAATTAGTATGCAAAATAACCCCTTGAAAATCCTCCCAGAAGGCCAAGTTTCTGTGGCAAATACAGGGCCCCTGTGACCGCCCAGAATACCAGAATGATGGCAGGAAACTGTCAGCAAGACTGCCCAGGCAGCAGCTGGCAGTGGCCATGACGGTCAAGGCCAGGGACTCTGTGTCCTTACCTGGGCATCTTGGCTTCAGCCATCCAAAGGAGATCCATGTTGCTGGCCAGGACGGGGAGATGGGGATAAGGGGCCGTCGCCAGACCAGTCCCAGGGTTCCCATTGCTGAGAAGGACATCCATGATCAGCTGCAGGCTTGTCTCCCAGCGGACTGGCTCCCCAAGGAGAAGCACTCCTTTAAAGAGCAAAGGCATGGAGGTGAGGGTTACTGGGCACTCTGCCTGGCCTCTGTGGCAGACAGGAAGAAGGCCTCTGTGGCAGACAGGAAGCCAGCTGATGCCAGCTGGTGCCACCCAACCACAGGCTCTTTCCCCACAGTACACAGCCCTGGCAAGGGCACAGTTCCCAGAACCAGCCTTCAAAGATCCATTCACCCATGGTAAAGAAAGCCCAGGACGTGGGAAGGCACTTCCTAAAGGCTCCCATTTTCACTTGTATTCACCAGTACTTCACAGAAGAGGTTAAAACAAAGAAAACCAGCAGCCAAGTCTCAGGCCTGCTTCCTCCTGCTGACTAATGCTCTCCCAACCACCTCACCCACAAGTACCTGGCAAAGGGCTCGCCTTCCTCAGCCACTTCTGAGCCCCAGGGGCCAGTAAACCTAACAGCTAGGAGAGGAGGATCTAGAGTGACACAGACCAGCATTCCAAACCTGACTGTCCATTTTCCTTGTGACTATGGGCAAGTTACTTACCTTCTCTCTAAGACTCAGCCTCAACTACATCATAACGATACCTATGATTGTTTAGGGTGAAAATGAGATATAATTAACCCATGCTGTACACCTAACACTCAACACATGGTAGCTGCCAATATCAGCTACAAGACCAGTGACTGAACCAAACCAGTGGTCTCATGGGGGAGTATTGCCCCCTAGGGAGGTGTTCCAGAAACTGGAGGATGTATTTTAATTGTCACCATGACTGACAATTAGTGGCAAGGATCGTGGGAGGGGGCCACGAATGCTAGACGCTCAGGACAGTCCCGAACAATCAGAAATTGCCCCCTATTAACTTTTGAGTATCCCATCTGACCTTCACATGGGTGAATAACCTGTTTATAAGTAACTGAGCCTAAGCCCTAATTTCATTCTATATATAAACACAAAGGTTTTAACAAACACTAATTTTCTAAAAATGCAACTATCATGTAAGTCAAGAGAAGACTGCACTTTATCTTTTCAAAAGTTTACCAATAGTTGTTCCTTATAATGGAAAATCACTTCACCAATGACAATGCAGCCCCTAATTTCTGAGTCACCCATAAATAAAATACACCTATATCACACCTATAAACACACTTACATCAGTCTCCATTTGTAGCTATGACATTCACGGTGATTCCATGTTTGGTATAATCATTTTACTACTTCATTATGTCTTCCTGAATAATTATTTACATATTGAAATACACATTACCTTACTAAAAATTTTCCTTTTATTTCTCCATATTACAATTAGGGCTTTATACTGAATTACTTAATTTTTAATATACATATACAGGAAAGTTGTGTTATCTATGAATTTCATTGCAGGGCAGTTAAGGGGACATTACAGTATTTTTGTTACACGAGGGGGAACTGGGTTTAATGGAGCTGAGAAACGCTGGCCTATATTACCTCTGGGAGCCTTTCCATGCTAAGATTTTCTACACTTAACAATTTTTCTGGGGATGCCTGGGTGGCTCAGTCGTTAAGCGTCTGCCTTCGGCTCAGGTCTTGATCCTTGGGTCCCGGGATCGAGTCCCACATCGGGCTCCCTGCTCAGCGGGGAGTCTGCCTCTCCCCCTCCCACTCCCCCTCTCTTGTGCTCTCTCTCTCTCTCTGAAATAAAATAAAATCTTAAAAAAAATTATAAAAAAACAAATAAATAAAAACAATTTTTCTGGAATAATAGAGCAAGTGATATGGGGAAGGAAAGATTAAAAACCAGTGTCTCAGAGGTGTTGAGGGGCAGATCTGAGACTGGAACCCAGGTGACCTGATATCCAATGCCTGCAGCCACCCTACCAGTCTCCAGGCAAACAGCTGCAAAAGAATAGCCTGGACGACCAAAAGGAGAACTGCCCAGAGCCACACCTACACCAGCAGAGGCCCTCATTACCTTCAATGGCAGGGAAGTCGTTCCTTGGAAGGGGCTGCCAAGAAACAAAGAAAAGGCCCGTCAATGCCACAGTCACTGTCCACTACCAGACAACCACACAACTACATCATAACAAGTGGCAGGGCAAAAGACACATTCTAGACAGATCAAAGACCACCCCCATGGTCTAGCCCAAACCAAGGAGAAGCTGGATAGGACTGAGGAAGAAAATTCATCAAGAAAAGTGAAGAGAGAGGCGCCTGGGTGGCTCAGTTGGTTGGACTTCTGCCTTTGGCTCAAGTCATGGTCCCAGGGTCCTGGGATCGAGCCTCATGTCAGGCTCCCTGCTTGGTGGGGAGTCTGCTTCTCCCTCTCCCTTTGCTGCTCCCCCTGCTTGTGCTCACTCTCTCTCTCCGTCAAATAAATAAAATCTTTAAAAAAAAAAAAAAGGAAAGAAAACAAAGAAAAGTGAAGAGAGAATGAGCAGGACTCTCACAGAACACGCTGATGGAAGCCACATATGGAGGTCAGCCAGGAAAAAGAGCTGGTCAGCTGTCCCCCTCCAGTGAAGACAAGATGTGAGATATGGGCCAAGCAAGAGTCTACAATCAGGTAGCTAAGATGAAGGTGAGCCTATGGAGAAAAGGGAGGTCACCAGGGCATGATGGACCATTTCTCTTGATGTGATATGAAGAGGCAGGAGCCTCCACTTTACCAATCCTCTGGGGTCTGTTCCTTCCCTAAACCATTAGTCTTGGCTCTACCACTAACCAGCTATGTGACCTGCAGTAGGTCACTTCCCCTGTGTGGGGCTCAGTCTCTGAGCTGCTCTAAGAGCTGTTCCAACTCGGACATTCTGGTTCCCCACATAATTTGCATGATCCTAGGAGGAGGCTTTCGAAGGCAAAAAAGTGCTCTGTTCAACTGGGAAGCTCTAGAGGAAGGAGGACTAACGCTATATAAACAAACAAAAGTAAGCTTGTATGTTTATAACTACATTTCCCCACATTTTGACAGTGGTCTGATTTAGACTGCAGGCCACGGTGATAGAGAGTTCACATGAGGAAGGGGGGAGGCAAGGAAGGGGCCATCAAGACCCAAGAAGTCATGCTCTAAAGGATCAATGAGAAGCCCTGTGACTAGTGATCAGAAGAGATAAGAAATCAAACCAGTGGTTCAAATATGAGCCAAACCCTAAAGGAACATGGGCATACTCAGAATTGCCAGTTACTTTGATAAGCAAGCTGTTTCTCATAAGGACAGCTCTCCACAGCAAGCTTTAGGATAAAGGAGCAGCAATGATTAATTTCACTAAGGTTAATGATTTTCCCAAGCAACACTCAAAACCAGCTGGTAAAGGAGAAAACTCCTCATTGGAGAGGCTAGGGCTTTGAAAGGAGTTCTCAGCTATTTACAAACAAGGCAAAAAGGAAAGCCCTCAGGAGCTTGTTGCTCCTCTGGCCATCCTTGTATATCTGGAGAACAAAATCCTTGGCTGGATGTGCCTCTCTAGGGTGGACAAGATGCGGCTCTCAGTGGGAGGGCCTGCAAGACTAGTAAGAGGAACCCACATGGGGAACAAGAGGAGAAAACTAAACATGAGACACCCAGGGGCATGAGCCTTACTACCGTGGTCTTCGGCCGCCGCTGGAGATCCACCATGTCAAGCACAGGAAAGGCCATCCGCAGCTCATCCACAGTAACCACATTCTCGAAGCCCAGTCTACAGCAAGGTCAGGGAAGCAAAGCTGGACAGTTCTGGGGGAAGATGCCTTTAAGGTGAGGGGAACCAACACAGTCCCAACCAAACTACTGCACCCAGTCCCTGGACAAGAGTGAAGCAGTGAGAGCCCAGACACAGCCCGGAAGGCCGACACCAATCCTGAAGGTGCTGGCAAAGGGGCCATGACTACACAGGCATAGTAGGGATGCACCCTGCCACAGCGATGCGGCAGCAGGGTGCCAGGTCCCACGCTGGGCACTACCAGGGCACAAAGGCACGCAAGAATGTCTGGTGGAGCTCACCACATGCCCAGGGCCCATCTAAACCAGCACTCTCTGAACAGTGCTGGTTTTGAGGAGTTGAAAAGAGGAGATTCGTCACTGGGCTGGTAGCTGGGCAGAGTCCAGGGAAGTCAGACTTGAGTTAACTCTTGAAGATGAACCAGATTCAGACAGGATTGGGAGGCCATGAAGAGCAGAAACCCAGTGCCAACCTTATCTCTCCGAGACCTGCCTCCATTTTTCTGTCCTCAATTCCCACTTACAATCTTAACCGGACATGGTTTCAAATTACTTTCAAAATTAATCTCCTGAAAATGCTGCTTCCGTCAGACCACCCAATACCAACAGAACCTGCAAAGATTCCCCGTGCCCTCATAAGTAAGCTCACTGGCCCCTTGCCTTCCCTTCTGAGGTGCCACTCCTCCTGCTCTCTCTTACTCCCCACCCTATCCCAATCCAAACTCCTGCTTCAGGGGTCCTCACCTTCCCTTCTCTCTCCAGCCATCTTAGCTCCTTCCCTGCATAGAAAACCTTAACCATAACCATCTCTGAGCCAAACCCCTCCATGAAGCCACCAGTCACAGCCGCTCCCAGGGTGTTCCCTCCCCAATACCTGGGACTCTCAGAACCTCGACTGTGCTTCTAAGTTTTCAGTCATATGCCATCTTTTTTTTTTTTTTTTTAAATGCAGATCCCTGCTGGGCTTGATGTCTAGGCTTGGGAATCTGCTTTTCTCTTACAGAGGGAGTGGAGGGGGTTGCAAAGGGACAGGGGGAGAGAGAGACTCTTAAGCAGACTCTGTTCCCAGCATGGGAGCCCAATGCGGGGCTCAATCTCATGACCCTGAGATCCCGACCTGAGCCGAAATCAGAGTCAGACCTTTATCAACTGCGCCACTCAGGCACCCCGATCGTATGCCATCTTAAATATTCCTTTATCCTTTGTGGGTGTGTTACTCCTGCCTCTCATATGAACCCTTTGATGAAGACAGAGTCCCACGTGCTGTTCTTGGTCCCCATCGCCCCTGAAGAACGTGCAGGATGGGGCTGGTACCCGGGAAGTGCTCAACACAGGTCTGCCATATGAGCAAATGAATGTGCTACTTGAGAACAAGCAACAACTCTTCTTCTGCCTCTTGAGTGTGCACACACCCACAGGTTCACTGTGGATACTTAATATTAGCTGAGAAGTTGATTGAGCACGCCAAGGAACGGTGCTAGAGCAGCAGTTCCAAACCTAATTAGAGAATCACCACCTAGTCTTCTAACATACAGACTGCTGATTTTTCTCTCAGACCCAGTGAACCAAGAATCTGTATTTTAAGCTCCCCAGTAGGTTCTGATTCAGTGGGCTGACTTTTTGGAAAGTATGGCACCAGGACTGGCCATACCTGGGAGCCACCGTCCCTCCCTCGAGAGCCCACTATGTACCCCTTAAGCCCTGGCACCATGCAGCCGGCACACCTCACTATGGTCCTGTCCACACACACACCCCGGCCATGGGAGAAAAACTCCAGTCCTGCCCCCTCCTCTTCAGCCAGAACAAGAAGCACTGAAAGGATACACTCGGGCATTTTCCACCAGGGGCCCCTGCCCAGACACCAGCATCCGCTTGTTGTGATATTGTGAGAAAAGCTTCATGGGACTGTGAGAAAGAATGACTTGGTCTGGCTCCACCTGTAGGGACGTCAAAAGACAGAAGAAAACAGAGACACAAGTTGACGGAAAATAATGGGGAGACAGGGAGCTTCTTTCACTTAGGAAGGGAAAAACTGCCCAGAAAAAAAAAGTGGGGAGCCCTTTCTGGCACCCAACACTTCTAGACACTACCCAAACAGGTGTGAGAAGAACCTGTCTAATTTGGCTCTTGCCACAAAAAATGAACAAGCAGGAAACGCCATCAGTCGTGGGTTCTGACCATTCACCAATCCCATTCTGCTCAGTTCCTCCATCTGGAGACCTCAGGGTTTACGGGCATGTTCTTTGTCACAGTCACAGAAATCTGCCTCTGACTTTCTGTTTTCACTTCTACTTCAAGACTTAGCTTTTGGGGGGGGGGCGCACGCCTGGGTGGCTCAGTCGTCAAGGGTCTGCCTTCGGCTCAGGTCATGATCCCAGGGTCCTGGGATCGAGCCCCGCGTCGGGCTCCCTGCTCCACGGGAAGCCTGCTTCTCCCTCTCCCACTCCCCCTGCTTGTGTTCCCTCTCTCACTGTGTCTCTATCTGTCAAATAAATAAATAAAATCTTTAAAAAAAAAAAAAAGACTTAGC